TAGGTAGGTAGGTAGGTAGGTAGGTAGATGATAGATAGATAGATAGACAGACAGATAGATAGGTAGATAGACAGATATACAGACAGACAGACAGACAGAGATGGGGTTGTTGGACTCCAATTCCCAGCAGCCTTAGCTGGCTTGGGTAAGAGGGGTGGGGGCACCATGTTGGCCAGGGGGTGCATGCTAAGTCAGGGTTCCCCGCTTGCAAAATTGGACTTTGGCAGCTGCAGGGAGAAACACACAGGGTGGACAGTTTTGTCTGGAGGCTAAATTGTGTGATGAAAGGTTGGGGTGGGGGGTAATTATGTCTGGCCTAACGAAGAGAAGGATTAGAGGGTGGCGTGATAGCAGTCTTCCCCTAGTGGAGGGGCTGGCGCAAAGAAGAGGGTGTGTAGTAGCTTCTGTTTGATCAGCGGACTGGACTAGAAGACCTCCAAGGTCCCTTCCAGCTCTTCGGTATCCTGATTCAAACTTCTTATTTAGGGTATAAGAGGACAGGACCAGAAGTAGTATGGAGTAGGTAGAAGCTTGTTTAAAAAAAGAGATCCAACCTAGAACCAAAGAGGAAAATTCCTGAAGTTGTGCTCCTGTCACTGGAGGTTTTCCAGAAGGGTATAAGGTCTCTCGCCTTGGGGAGGGGGCTGGACTAGAAGACCCCCAAGTTCCCTTCCAGCTCTCTTCTTTCTGATTCTGATTCATACTTATTCTGTAGTATACCAGGGGGCAGGATAAGATGTAGTGGATGGAAGCTTGTTAAAGAGAGATCCAACCTAGAACTAAATAGAAATAGGTTTTTTATTTTTTGCAGGGCAAAAAACGATGGGTGGAAACTAAACCAGGAGGGAAGCAACCTAGAACTAAGGAGAAATTTCCTAACACTTGGGACAATGAATCAGTGGAACAGAAGTTGCTTCCAGAAGTGGTGAATGCTATAACACTGGAAGTTTTTAAGAAGAATGTCGGATAGCCATTTGTCTGAAACGGTATCGGGTTTCCTGCCTACGCAGGGGGTTGGACTAGAAGATCTCCAAGGTCCCTTCCGGTCCCATGATTCTAGGGTTTAAGGAAAGCATAGTGGACAGATTACATGCCTGACGCCACTTCTTTTCCGTGTTTTTGTTTTTAAAATGCCGCGTCCAAAGGCCTGCTTATTATTTTTCTCTTCACCCTTCAATGCCATCTGTTGGCAGGAAGCAGAGATGGAAATCTCTGGATGAAAATAAGAGAAGGAATAAGGAGGGGGGAGTGATTTTGTCACTCAGCGTGGATTTGATTTAAATCCGGTCGATTTGAATCATGATTTGAATCACTAGTAAAAAGGCTTGATTTAAATCAACTTGATTTAAAGGAATAGGGGGGGGAGTGATTTTGCCACTCAGGGTGGATTTGATTTAAATCCAGTCGATTTGAATCACGATTTAAACCACTGGTAAAAAGGCTTGATTTAAATCAACTTGATTTAAAGGAATAGGGGGGGTGATTTTGTCACTCAGGGTGGATTTGATTTAAATCCGGTCGATTTGTATCACGATTTAAATCACTAGTAAAAAGGCTTGATTTAAATCAACTTGATTTAAAGAAATGGGGGAGTGATTTTGTCACTCGGGGTGGACTTGATTTANGAGATTGGGGGTTGGACTAGATGACCTATAAGGTCCCTTCCAACTCTGTTAAAAAGAACCTAACCTCTGCAAGCCCTGGAAAGGTTCTGAACTAACCACGATGATTGCAAACCAGGGTTAGAACCCTGGGTTGAAAAGAGATTTTTTTTTTTAAAGGAAGAGGGAGGGAAGTTGGAGGTTCCCACGCTTTATTTACGCGCTGCCTGCTTCCCCGCCTCCTTTGGACTCGTGTTTGGCTGCTTCCTCCTCCTCCTCCTCTTCCTCCTCCTTCCTAACTCGTCGGAAAGAAGAGCTGCGGAGGCCCGAAAACGGGAAAGAGCCCTTGGCGTTTGCAATTCCATTTGCATTTGCATTGCATTGCATTTCTTCTTCTTTCCTTTTCTTTTTTGCAAACGACACTTTTTGCCGACACGCGTTGGCCCAAGATCATGGGAACGCCGGCAAATCCCCGAGACGGGCTCCCGCTTTGATCATCAAACAAACAAGCAAAGGAGAGAGGGAGGGGGGGAAAAACCAGGAGCGCCCCGTGCAGCAGAGCCGGTTCGGGGAGGGCGGTGGGCTTCTTCTCCCCCTCTCCATGGCTGGGTGCCTCGAAGAGGACGACGTCCCCCTGATCTTGACCTTAGAGGACGGCAGGAGACGGAGGGTCGATCCGGAGGGGGTCCCCAACGAAAGTAAGCCAACTTTTCTGCCCCCCCCCTCTCTCTCTCGTTCTCTGGGATGCGAAGCTGAGACGCGCTTGGCAGGCGGCTCCAGTGGGCTTCTTGGGTGGGGAGGGGACTCTGCGTGTCTTTAGAGAGAGGGAAAGTGATGGGGGTGGGGTGGGGGTCCCGACAGCGGCATCCCGTCTGCGGAGAGGTGGTCCCCCTTTACGAAACTGAAGTAGGGAGGGGGAGAGGGGGGATAGAGACAGTTTAGAGAGGTAGAGACAGACAGAGGCAGTGATTTTGTGTGTGTGTGTGTTTGTGTACGTATATGTATACATATACATATATATGTAGCACAAATATATCAGCACAAATATAACACATATATATATATATATATACATGTATGTGTGTGTGTGTATGTATGTATGTATATATATATACATAAATATATAAATATATATTTATATATTTAT